AAAAAATTAACTTGGGTTCCACTAGGATTTGGGTTCCTCGTGAAACTCAGTTTGTACCTTTCTTTCACTTTTTTTTTTTCTGTGATTCTTTTTAGTTTTGATAGAATAATAAGATGATGATTTGATTCTTTGATGGGTTCCCAACTTTTCTTGCAAATGAATTAAAAGATTGTTCCTTTTTTCCTTTTTCCCAATCTAAATCAACCTCCACTAGAACCATGGATAAAATCTTTTTCGATCTTCCATGGAGGCTAGGTTCCTCATGGAACCTAATTTTGGGTTCGTGGAACCCCAAAACCTGGGTTCTACAAGGAACCCAAGAGGATGATAAAGAGGATGGTGAAGATAATGTCAAGGATGAGGTGAAAGAAGGAGGTGAAGAAATTAAAGTTAATTATGTTTTAATTCATTTAATTTCTTGTTCTATTTATTTTTTTTGGTTGGGAGGCATTTACAGAAAATTATGCCACATTATCATGCCACATCATAAAACAAATGTCCACATTGGATTAATAACATCACGTAACACCCACATCACTCTCTGGATGCAACGTATTATACTTTTTAATAGTTATTAATGTTCAAATGATAGTTCATTAAAACATTTTGGTTTTTCATGGATTTTAAAAAGTGGAAGGTGTTGATCGAGAAGAAAATTTTATAAGATGTTAACCATAGAAAGCAATTAAATGAAAGGTGCAAGGACACTTTCCCGTTACACACCTCACCACACACTCACGATTTCCATTATGCATACTAATGGTCTTTGTAATGCACGTAACCGCTAAACTTCTCCATCTTCTTCAACTCTAGAAACTGTTGGGTTTCTTCATCTTGCTACCATTTATGTAAGAAGCAAACATCCAACCCAAAAAAGTGTCACAAAGAAACTTTTCAATTTATTCAATTATTAAACCCTTACATAGCCCTTGAAGACTAAAAGGAACCAACTTTAATAAGGCTAAGGGCTTGTAAAAAGGAAAATTCCAATCTTGAAGAGAACATGTTTCTGGCGTGTAAAAGGGAAAAGTAAAGAAAATCCAAAAGGAATTAGATCGGCGGTAGGCAATCTTCCATAAAATAGAGAAGTAAAACAAGAATTCTCAAATCAGAGAAATGCCTGATTTTCAGGCCACACTTGTCTGTTTTCTAAGTTGCCTTAATTAACAACCAATTTATCCCAATCAACAATCTGTGAAGTTGTGCCAGCTAACAATTTTGGATAATGATATACATAAGAAATTTTCTCATACAGAAACTACTTCCATCCCCACCTTTGACCATGTCGCTTGCCGGACTTTCTCCGCCTCGCATGGCCTTGGCGCCCGAGCACTTGCAATTGAGGTTGAGGATGCCAAGGTTGCCTTCGCCAACAGTGTTGCCCACGGCACAAAGCCATCTTCCTCCCCAATTGTGCTCGGCAATCGTGCTGTTATAGTTGAAGTCCTTGAGAACGTGGGTTCTCTCGAAGAACCCATATTGGATTCTCCAGGGAGAACCCAGAGAACCCAGATCTGGGTTCTCCAAGATAACCCAGATCTGGGTTCTCCAAGATAACCCAAATTTTGGTTCTTCTTCAATAGATCAAGGAGAGGGGAAGAGAAGGAAGAAGAGGAGAGGAGAGGGAAAGAAGAAGAAAAAGAAAGGACGAGGAGGGAACAAATCTACGGATGGAGAACTCAAAAGCAAAGAGAGGAAGAAAGGAGAGTAGAGAGAGCAAGAGGCCTGGGCTAGTAGTAACAGAGAGAGACGGATTAAGTAACGGACAATAAATGGATGTGACGAAGTCTGTAACAGAAAGAGTAAACATATCATTAGGTCCAAATAGGAGCTTTGGTCATTACAATATACAGTGAATGTTTTTAAAGAGCATCAATCACATATTGATGAATATAGTTGACATACAATTCTCGCCATCCGCTTTGTGACTTTTACCATATATTGTACTTTTAGGGCTTATTCACCAGTAAAAATTATTTTAAGGGGCTAATTTACCTAT